ATGCTGGAGCCAAGGTGGGAGCTCCCTTCTAACCAGAGAGCATTTAAGAGTTGTGGTTAGAGGGTCCCACATCATTTTGTCACCGGTCTGATAGGTGTATCTAATTTCTGGTTAGGGCTATTAGGGTCATTGTGTGCCTGGATTATAATCTGACACTGTATCTGGACAGGAGGTAGTATTGTTAGGAAACGCTAGGGCTGAGGAGGGAGGGGCAGGAGGGGGTAACCTTTAAAATCTATCTGCTTTCGAGAGATGGTAGATATAAAACTGGCAGCCCACTGTGTATTAAAACGTCTTGGGCTTCTCTGTTTTTATCCTTATTTTACACACACATGCACACACACACACGCACTCACACACACACACCTTTTATTTTGTTCTGCCTTTGCCACAGTGTATAAAGCCCTATTGAGACATGTAGGCGTGATGTGTAAACCGGATTAGCAGTATGAAAGAAAGACATACAATGAGCCTGAATTGTTTTACTTCCTTTTCATTTCTCACGCCTATATCTCTAATAAATTTGTTGCTCCAGCAGTGGGTCAAAGAGATTGTGTCGCTCAGCTTTTTTTTTCTTTTCTGCTAAGACCCGATGGCAGAGATCATGAAAATGAATGACCTGCCTTCTGCCAAATGCAAGACTTGAACTATACCTTTACAGAGACCCGGTGTTGTCCGGGCCAGCTAAAAACGGTTCAGTGTAACTTTCCTCTCTCTATGCACATTAATGTCCTGCAAGTTGCAGGGCATTTTGCCAGGAAAAGAATCTGTCTTGAAGACGACTTGGGTTTATAGAGCTAATTCTTCGTAGAATATGACAAGGACTTCTGGGGCTGGGGTGTCCTCCAGCTGTTGGAGGGAGAGCGCTGTCCCTCCCTCCGCTGCCCTGCGCAGCTCCCCAGCCATCTGCTCCTCCCCTGGGAGTCCGCTGCTGGGAGGGAGGAGTGCAGGGACCTCGGAGGCTCCTCCGGAGGCACATTTCCCCGCAGCCCTCCGCGGAAGAAAATGCCAGCGCTGCTGGGTTGGTGTTGTAGATCCCTCATTTGCTCCTTTGTGGCGTGCAGAGCAGCTTTCCATTAAAGGAGATCAGGGGTAATTAGCCGCATTATTTTGACAAGTTGGCTCGAGCAGTTCCCTTTCTCGCAGGACTGCGGAGGGGGAAAGGGCTCGCTTAGTGAAGCCGCCTCCTTCCCCGGGCGCGGCGCTCCCCTGCAGAGCGGTTTCCCCGTGCCGGCCGCCCCCCCCCCCCTTCCACCTCCCCCCCCCCCAATCCCCTGGACTGAGGCCTCCGGTGGCCGGTGGCAAGCGGGGCACTGCCAGTGGAAACGGGAACGCTAAGACTGCCCTGCAGAACCCAGCAAAGGTGCTGCCCCGTGACGTTATCTGATGTCAAAGCCAGCGCCAGGCGTGCGTGGGGAGCTCAGGGCTGGGGCAGACCTGTGCTCTTGTGCGATGAAAACGTGTATGATAGCCAAACTCTTGAGGCCAAAATCTTGGAATAGACAAAACCAGGGTATTTTACAAGTCCTTCTGCCACGGTCAGCTATCCTGTAGCACCTAAAAAATGAAGCCAAAGCACTTAATCTCAGTGCCGTTTCTTTATTAAGGGAATCAGATGCTCCAGCAGTCTTGGTGGTGTGCCCACAAGCAACCTGGAAAAAAGTGAAATCAGTGCGTATACCTGTTACCCACTGTTGACCTCTATTGAATTTGACCCCTCACCTGGCTGAAGGAAGTGTGAAGCTTTGCAGTATTTGAAATTATGAGCACAAAAAGGATCTAAGAGGCAGAACATTACAAAATGAGCCCACTATGGCCAGAGTCAAAGCTGAGATTCTTATACGCCAGCCCCGGCTGTCCAGGAATTGGGAGGATCAGGTATAAAAGGTTGCTTCCCAGGCCTCCAACAGTGCAAGACCGAGATAAGAAACCTGTGCGATCCCTGCGAGTTGCTGAGGATGGAAAAAGCCCTTGGTGAGGAGGAACAGTTGCACACACAGGGTATGCATATCACAGCCAGCAGCGCTTACAAATGTAAATAAGGGCAGATTGATTAGGAACAACATTATCGTCAGGAATGTAGCGCGCAGGCATCAGCTACGAGGCAAACTGGGGGCAGCCACTGCTCTGACCACCCAAGTGGAGACTTTTACACTGACACTTCTTAAGGGAAAAGAAAAAAATAATACAGAAACAAGGCCAATTAGATCCCTGCAGTAATTAATCTCTTGTGTATGCTTGAAAAGAAAAAAAAATAAAATCCCTCCAGACCACAGGGAGAGAGGGGAGATTAAGATAGCGCTTGTTAAAGTTGAGTCTTCAGGCTGGGTTTTGGAACCAGGAGCAAAGACGGGCGCTGGGCTATTGTGTGAAACCTAGCAAGCAGGAGGCAGGCAGGGAGGCTCTGGGGGCTCGAGGTGCTTGAAGGGACACTCCTCCGTGGTTTTGGAGCCTGCTGGGAGGCTGAGGAACCAAAATACCTCTTCATCTACGCCTTCTTTCTCTGTCCCCTAGATACGCCGCTCCACCAAACCCAGTGAAGCTGAGCAGAAGCAGTGGCACAGTTGTTCCTAGTGAGATAGATGGTCATTCTCCCAAGTGGAAATTTGAACTGGAGGTGACCTACTGCATCCGAGGTGTGGGTTTCAGCCTCCAGCAGAAACTGGTTTCCCCCTCCAACCTCTTTGGGTTTCTTTCTCCCGCATGTATGCACCTACGTGTGCTTGCTATGACAACTAGCTGTTTCTAGCAGCTTTCCTGGAGACAATCCTATGCAGAGCACAGGGCCGGGCCCTCCCGAAGGAAGGTCTCCCCCAGCGTGGGAAAAACGGAGGTGGGACGGACAGGAAGAGGGACCCCCTCACCGGCGGCTGTCACTCAGGAAAACCCCTGACCCCCAGTACCTATAGGCAGTGGCACGGAGGGGCCCTCCGCATGGGAGGTGCTGTGGGTGCGCAGCCCGCTGCCTCCGGCGGCCCTGGGGCTCTATGCCTGGCAGCCCTGCCAGCCCCGCCGCAAGGAGGACGGCGCGGGCAGCGAGCAGGGGCTCGGAGGTTTAGCCCACAACAGCTGCCCCGGGCACACTTGGCGGGGCTGAAGGGAAAGGTGCGCGGCACCGGGGCGGGGAGCTGCCTCGCTGCGCCTTCACCTCGGGTCCCCACACTCCCCTCTTTTTCTCTTTCCCCCCCACACCAAGCCAAGGGAAGGCACGGCGGGCAGCCCTACACAGCAAGCGCCCCTCGGGCCGGGTTAACCGCTGCCTTCCGCACCGGTGCGCACAGAGGTCCGCCGGGACTCAGAGCCTCCGCGGGGAGCCGCGCTGGGGGTCGGGGCGCGCAGCCCCGGGCCTGGGGGCACTGCGCGCAGCTGTAACGGCAGCAATTAAAGGCTGATTCTCAATGAACAGAGACGGGGAGAAGCGGTGCCAAAAAAGTAAACAATCGCGTATAGTTCAAGAAGTGTTTAGCGCGGCCAGCCAGGCTGCGTTTCATGGACTTTTACACTAAAAACATATTAAAATTGGCTTTCCTCAGGTTTCAGTTAAAGAATGAGTCCTAAGTTGAAACAGGCTAGCTACTGAGCGGGTTTAAATCCCTTAAGTGTTAAGTTTTCATTGTGCTTTTCTAACTGGACGGAGTGGTTTTCTTGCAAGGAACTAAGACTCCTCTTTAGTTAAAAAAGAAAGAGAGAGGGAGAAAAATCTGGCACTTTCTACCGCAGTATCTACCACCCTGTCATTATTTCTGCAAGCCTGGGAATTCAGCTCGGACCTCCCAGTATTTGTTGCAGCTTGAGGCCAAGGTGCCTCTAAAAGGATTTTCTTTTAAGGGCTTTAGAAAGCGTTTAATGCTGCTTTCCCCCAGTTTCCCTCTCTTTTTTTAAAAGGGGAAAATATATTTCTGTATGTCGATAGCGAGAAAGTTCCGCGCTTGTATTTGTCTGCAAGCATCCCGAGAGGAAAAAAAAGAAAAAAAGAAAAAAAAAAAGAGAGAGAGAGAGAGAGGGGAGAAAACTTTCTTGAAAAGAAAACGGAGAAGAAAGGGGGGGAAGGCATTCCTTAATGGAAGTATTGCATGCAAAGAAGGCTGGATCTCTTTAAGGCTCCCCCTGAAGCTGGAGATGCACACACAAGGGTTGCCGGCCTGGGTGGTCTCTCTACTTTGGTGAGCTGTTGCTAAGCAGCTAATAATAGTCATGTTTGCTGAGTAATTTCTGCCCTCCCCGAGCCAATCGCCTCGCAGAAACCCAAGCCATCTGACAGCCCCGGGGGCGGGCTTTCAGCGCTTTTTTTTTTTTTTTTTCCTCCCTCTCCCTCTCTCGCTCTCTCTCCTCTCATACTCCCCCCCCCCCCCTCCACCCCTCCTCCTCTTTATCCAAATGGAGAGAGTCCTTTTTTTCTTCTTCATCTCATCTCTTGAGCCGAGGGGCTGCAGCTCGGTGCTGCCGCACACACGCCGGGGGAGAGCGCCAGGCAGCCGGCTGTCCGCCGCCGCGGCGGGGCCGACCGTGGAGCCCCGCCGGCCCCGCGGCCCGCGGGAAGCACCCCGGCGCTGAGGCAGGATGGTGCAGCGCGGCGAGGCATCGCAGCAGCAGCAGTCGCGGCCCGCCGCGCCGCCGCCCCGCCGCTGAGAGCCGCCGCGGACAGCGGCTTCCCGGAGCCAGCGGCGGCTGGAGGAGGCGATTTCAACGGGAGCGGAGGAAAGCGCGGCGGCGGCAGCCGGGGGGCGCCGGGGGTCGCGCCCGCCCGCCCGCCCGCCCTCGCCGGGCGCGGGGAGCGGCCGCCTGCAGCTCGGGGTCCGCGCGCGATGTGGCAATGGGAGCCGCGGGGAGCGACTCGGCCGGAGCGGCCGCGGCGGCAGCCGCCGCCCCGCGCCCCGCGTGAGGCGGCCGCGCCGCAGCAGCCTCAGCAGCAGCAGCCCCAGCGGCGGCGGCGGCGGCAGCTCCCGCAGCAGCCCCAGCAGCAGCAGTCCGCGGCCCGCAGCGCCGCCAGCCCCCCGCGGCCCCGCCGCGCCCCCGGGGCCCCGGGGCCCGCCGCGGCAGCGCCAGCGGCAGCTCCCCCGTCCCGCCGGCGGCGGCAACATGGCCTCGGCCGGTAACGCGTCGGAGCCGGAGATCAGCAGCAGCGCGGGCGGCGGCGGCCACCCGGGCCGGGCGGCGAGGAGCGGCGGCGGGTGGCGGCGAAGGACCGGAGGGAATCGGCGAGCCGCGGCACCCGACCGGGAGTATCTGCAGCGGCCGAGCTACTGCGATGCGGCTTTCGCCTTGGAGCAGATCTCAAAGGTGCACTCAATCTCTCACTCTTTTTTCCAGAGATACAAACTAGCGCTAGAGCTGCTTTTCGGCGGGGGAGGAGGGGGTGGTGTGTTTTCTCGCGGGGGTGGAAGGAGGAGATGGAAATGAAACGGCCACCAATAAAATGCTGGGAAAAAAGAGAGGGACGTCTGTGACTCTTCAGTGCGGGAGAGAGTGCCCTCCTTCCCTCCTTGTTCGCCTGTGCCTGCCCAGCTGCGTGCCTGTGCTGCGGAGCACTCTTCTGGTTAAATTTCCCTAGCTAACCCTGGCTCGCTCCCGGCCTGCCCCCGGCTAGCCCCTGGCCCCACTCTCCCTCTCCCCCTCCGTTTCCTCTGCATCCTCTGGTAGAGTTCTGCGACCTCGGCAACACCGGCTCCTGGCCGGGACGGGGGAGAAAGCGGACGGGCTGCCGCTTTCTTGGCAGAAGTTGTGCTTTTGTGAAGTTCTCCTCCGCCGATGCGGCGACTGCCCTCGGAGAGGGGCTGCCCTCGGCAGTGAAAGCTCGCAGCGGCTTCCTTCCTCCGGCGGTCGCAGACGGAGCGAGGGCCGTAAACAAACTGCCACCGTAACTCCGGTCGCACCGGTCCCCGCGGAGGGCTGGAGGTGCCGGAGCGCCCGGACCGGCCCTGGTGGGGCGGAGGTACGGCCCCCGCCGCCGACCTCCGCTGGCCAAAAAATGTTCAAAGTAAACAAGCTCGAAAAGCTGCCTTGCTGCGGGGATGGTCTATCTTCAGGGAGCGGATTTCTAGGCTTTGTAAGAAGGGGGAAAGGAGGAGGAGAGAAGGGAAAAAAAAAAAAGAAAAAGAAAATCCATGTGGCTGCCCTCTTCCGTTCACAAATATTGTCGTAACTTACAGATGGCTGCTCTACTTCCTAATTCAGATCACACAGCGTCTCCAAACTCTATGGAAATGAATTACTTCTGATCTTACAGTGCTGCTCACCACGTGGGTCCTGTCTCAGCATCAAATCCTTGCTAGGAGCCGGGAATGGGGGAACAGCAGCAAACTGCTTACCAGATAGCTTTCCGTCACCACCGGCCGTCCCGTCTCCCTCCCCACCCCGCCCTTCAGAGCTCTAAGGAGAACACGAAAAGGGGCTTTTATCTTCCTTTTTTGGTGGCTGTTGCGGATTATCGGAAACGGTTGCTCCTGTGCTGGGCCCGAGGCTCTTGCCAGCGGGATGCTGCGCCGCTGCCAGTGCCCTGGGGAGAGGGAAGCACGGCGGGCAGCGCAGGTGGCGGCTGCCGGGACGTGATGCGGCAGCGTCACCGCGCCCCGAGCGCTGCGCTGGGGCCAGGACGGTTGCCCGCAGGTACACCTCGGCCTGTGCCTGCGGCTGGGGCAGCGGCTGAACGGCTCCGTACTCGGTCCCAGGGGTGCTGCGGGACACTAGGGGCTCTCCCCTCGCAGCCCCTCTACTACTGACCTCTTCTTGCCTTGCAGGGGAAGGCGACGGGACGGAAAGCGCCGCTGTGGCTGCGAGCAAAGTTTCAGAGACTGTTATTTAAACTGGGCTGTTACATTCAGAAAAACTGCGGGAAGTTCTTGGTTGTCGGCCTCCTGATTTTTGGGGCTTTCGCTGTAGGATTAAGGGCAGCTAATCTCGAGACCAACGTGGAGGAGCTGTGGGTGGAAGGTAAGTGCCCCTCTCCCCGCGGCCGCCTCCTCCCCGTCCCTCCCCGCATGCCCAGCCGGATCCGCTCGCCTGGAGCGGCGGGGGCCGCGTGCTCCGTGAGCCGAGGGCTGGGAGGGGCTGCCGCCAGCAGGGTTTGCGCCGCGACGCGCGGCTCCGGGCGGCGCGTACCACTTCTCCGCCCCCGGAGGGGGAGAGACCGCGGCGGCAGGCCGTGCGTTACGCGGAGGGGAAGGCAGGGCAGGCCGCCCCCAGCCTCTGTCCCGTCGCTCTGCGCGGGCGGGCTGTGGCCGGCGGTCTCAGCGTCCCCGTGGGCGGTGGGAGGCGGGCGCGCTGCCGGAGGCGCCCCTCCGCCATTTTGGGATTGCGTGCGCCCGCGGCGGGGGGGGAGGGGGCGGTCGGTGAGGAGAGCGGCGCGGAGGGGCGGGTGTCTGTGTGTGGTCCTGGGCTTGGACAGCTTTCAGCGGGGGGGGAGCGATTGTATCAGGTAAAGAGGAAAAAGAGGTGGGAAAGGACCAAAAAGAGAAGAAAATCAGGCTGCCGGGGAGAAAGGGGTTGGCTGCGGGCAGTGTCCGGGGTGGGGGTGGTCCCTCCGGGCCCAGGCTGAGGACCCCGGCATAGGAAGACAGGCTTGGCATGAGAGAGGAAATGTGATGGGGGCCGGGGCTGCCTTTGGCAGCGCACGCCGCCAACCCGGGCAGAAACACGGGGTGTGGGGTTGTAAAACGGTGTTGCCAGCTAGTGTGTCTTTCAGGCGGTGGTGCTGCAGGCCTGGCGGGCTACCCGTCTCCGAGAACCACCACTCCTGGAGTCCGCGGCTTTGGGCCTGGGGTTTGGGTTTTTCTGGGTGGGGGTGTTTTCTCACTTTTTTATTTTTTTCCTTTTTCCTGGGGGAAAATTTACTTAGCATCATATTCCCTCGTTATCTGGGTTGATGTGAAAACAGAGTTCCTTGACTGCGGTAGTTACTCTGGGTTTATGTCAAAGTTGCTTGCAGGAGAATGTGGCTTATAAAAGTTCATATGGAAGACTGCATAAATAATCATTACTAAATAGCTCTCTGTATGTGAGAGTGTGGAAAAGCTAGGGCTGAGTGCAAACAAAGTTAGCGGCTGTTCGGAAGGTGGTCTGTCCTGAATGAATTGGAGCGTATATGACCAGATTCCACCCTTGCAGGTGAGAGCCATACTGGGGTCAGGATGAGGTTCACGGGTCGCTTAGTGAGTACTGGGTTGTTGTTTTTTTTTGGAAAGTAATGTGTGACTAACTGAACTGGTTTTTTGGTCCATGCAGCCCAGGATCCCGAAATATGATGAGGTCTGGTTTTAGCAGCCCTGAGAAAGAGAGCAGGCAGTGCAGGATCCCATCTATAGGCAGAGATGCTCATTCAGAGTCTGTACTGGTCACTAGGTCCTGAGTACCTTATATACTCATGCAAATGATTGTGAACATTTTTAAGTTCTTGTAAGGCTGTTGCGTCAAAGTTTCTTTTGTCAATGTTTGCTCATACGTGTTTTGTCCCTGCTTTTCTGTAAGAGTTTGGTAAATAATACAAGATTGCAGTTCCATCCAGCACGCTTCCCTGAGGTTTATTGTCCTGATATCACTGGGGTTCTCTTACTTGGAAAGTTGATCTAATCTGATTAATGCCACCTACTTTTTGTAACTCTGTAATACCAAGAAACTACTTCTTGGTGATGTCTGTATGACTGGCCCGGCAGTGAAAAATGCATCTGTCAAGGGACAAATAGGTTTGCAAAATAGCTGCTTAGTTCAGTTGCTGCACTGACCTCATGTCATTATTGCTTTATGGAGTGGGGAGGGGGAAAGTCCCTGGTTTAAAATCTCGTTGAAATTGATCTCTAGGGTTTTTATGGCCAAGATGAATTCATAACGCAACTGGTTATACAGAGTTGACCTCTCTAATTTCACATCTATTGAGTTTGGTTTCATGTGAGGATTAAATAACGTAAAAAAAAAAAAGTATTAAAATTCTGCCTTTAGAAACCCTTGCATTTTTAGATTGGAAAAAAAAAAAAGCTATCTGATTAAGATAAAATAAAGTATTCTGGATTTAATTCAACTTCTAGTCTTCCTGTTCTAGCACTAAATGACTGTCTACACAAAAGAACTTGCTAGAACGTGCTTTCTTGGTAGAGACTGTCAATGTTGCACTCATGAGCCAGGTGTTACACAAATAAACCTAACAAATAGCAGTTTCATATTTCTGCTGCTAAACTAAAGATAGAACTACAGATTGAGAATTTGAGTAAGAACAGGCATGGAAAGAGATAGTATGGAAAATACTCTTCTTCCTATGCGGAAGCGGAAAGCAATGACCAAACTCACTTTTCTGTGTTTGCATGCATCTGCTCGTAACAGCATGAAAGTACACTCTGGAGGTTATTATACTAAGGGACCCTGCCTTACTTTTGCCTTTATCTTTTGTTTACTGAGAGTTTTAATGAACTGGGCAATGTTGGCCAAATACAGAATTGGAAAGTCGTTTAGGTTGGAGAAGACGTTTAGGACCATCACCTTTAACTGTTAATCTGGCAGTGCCAAGTCCACCACTAAACCATGTCCCTAAGCACCACATCTACACATCTTTTAAATACCTTCAGGGATGGTGACTCCACTACTTCCTTGGGCAGCCTGTTCCAATGATTGACAACCTTTCCAGTGACTAAGTGTTTTCTAATATCCAATCTAAACCTCCGCTGGTGCAACTTGAGGCTGTTTGCTCTTGCCACCTGGGAGAAGAGACTTAGCCCTGCCTCACTACAGCTTCCATTTAGGTACTTGTAGAGAGTGGTAAGGGCTCCCTTCAGCCTCCTTTTTGCCAAAGTAAAAAACCCCAGTTCCCTCAGCCATTCCCCATCAGACTTGTGCTCCAGACCCTTCAGCTGTTTTGTTGTCCTTCTCTGAACCCACTTCAGCACCTCAATGTCTTTCTTGTAGTGAGGGGCCCAGAACTGAACACAGGATTCCAGGTGCAGCCATGTACAGGGGGATGATCACTGCCCTGGCCTTGCTGGCCATACTATTCCCAATACAAACCGGGATACATTTGCCTTCTTGGGTACCTAGGCACACGGCTGACTCATTCAGCAGGTCCAACTTTCCCAGGTCCTTTACCAACAGGCAGCTTTCCATCTGCTCCGCCTCAAGCCTCTTGTGCTGCATGGGGTTGTCGTGACCGAGAAGTGCAGGATCCGGCGCGTAGCCTGGCTGAACCTCATACAGTTGGCCTCATCCCATTGACCCAGCCTATCCAGATCACTCTGTAGAACTTTCCTGTCCTCAAACAGACCAACACTCCTGCCCAGCTGGATGTCATCTGCGAACTGACTGTTGGTGCATTAAATGCCCTCATCCAGATCACTGAGCAAGATATTAAACAGAACTGGCCCCAATACTGTGAGCCCTGGGAAACACCACTTATGACCAGCTGCACAGTGGATTTATCTCCATTCACCACCACTCTTTGGGCCTAGCCCTCGAGCCAGTTTTTTTCCCAGTGAATAGTTCACCCCTCAAGCCCTGAGGGGCCTCATCACCTGGTTTTCCAGTATGTCCACTGGTACACTACTGAAATATATTTCAAGTAACAGTTTTGATTTGCTGCTGAAGCTTTTTACAGTTCTTACTGCTGAATAAATTGTCAGTATTTACATAAAGAGGCTGATTTTCTATGGTGTATTTCTGAATACCGTAGAACACGGAACATAATACATCGCAAGTTTGCAGGAAGTAAATGGTTGCTTTAAAACCATAACAATTAATTAAAAATAGTGAAGCGAAGTTTGAATGAATTTTTAAGGCCATGCACATTCCAAGGTAAATGATTAGTAGTCTGGGCCTGAAGCTATTATGACTGAAATATTTACATAAGAAGTTTAGAAACCCACCAGGTAGGCAAACTTTCAAAGAGAGAAAAAGAAAAACAGATCTCCATATTTTTTTTTCAGTTTTCCTGTAGTGTTTCACCTTCAGGATTTATGCCAGCACTCATGCCCTTCTCTGTGCCTTCTGATACCAAATTGACTTTCCTCTCAGCTTGTTTCTTGACATTAAGTGTTGTATAGTAGCTTTTTGCTTTTTAAAAATTTATTTATTTATTAAAAACAAAACCACCTCCCTCCTTCCCCTTCCCCCCCCCAAAAAAAAAAAAAAAAAAAAAAGCAGCCCACAGTCATCCTCTAGCTGCTCTTCAGAGCACTTCATTTATTAGTCTATGTCCCACACTATGACCTCAGGCCTTGCATCAGTTTGTAGTCCAGGTCTCTGGCATCTTTGACTGGGACATACAGCTTTGTCCCCTCAGCCCATCAGCAGGTCTGTCATCCCCATGTGCATATCTTTCTGCTGAGGGATGCTTGTTTTAGTTGCTTTGGCAAACAAATTCTGGACTGGCATTTTAGTGGCAATTCTGTTATCCACAGCCATTCAGCTTGAGTTGAACTGCTTTGTGTGGGTGTCCGTGCATGCTAGAGTTGTGGAGACTGTTTAGCATCTTTATACATCATGTGCCCTTGAGAGGGAAAAAAAAAGGGCTTTGCATTGATTTCCTCTATGACCGTATTTTGTTGGACACACATGTGCTTTTAGAAACATCCATTCATAACTAGAAAGTACTCTGGATGGAAATGAAATCATGCCCATAACTGGTTATGTTTTTTGCTACCAGTGCAACAAGCAGTCTAGGATTCTGTCTGTGAACAGGAGTTACACATAAATTCACAGCCTCTGCTTCTGAAAGAAGGTAGTTTTGTGGCTCCAGAGAAGGTTCTGTTAAATGGAGCTTGAAATTTGGCTAGTGCAATGCCTTGAATAGTGTTAATTGGAGCAGCTTGTAAGGGGAGAGATGGTCTAGTCTTGTTCATTGATAATTCATGTCACTATTGGTGTTTTTTCCCCTTGCTTTCTTTATTAGTTTTTCTTCTCTAGGAGGTTGAGGGTCATGGTCTTCCTTCCTTCCTTCCTTTCTTGACTTCTGGACT